AAAAAATGTAGTATTTCCATATAAAATACTTATTCACTATAACTGTACTCATCATTGTCAAAAAGCAACAGATGAAAAGGATGGTTCAGGTAATTGGCCAATGTGTTTTTTTTATAATATAAAAGAACATCAAAATAAAAAAGCTAATGGCTATTTAACATATTATCAGGCAATTTTTTTTACTGAAATGTCTTACTAAGATTACCCAGAATTTATACCTTTGTTTATGCTAAGACTATCATATTTCTGTAAAAAGTGTAAATAACAAACGGGAAAATGATGCATTTAGCTAAAGACAATGGAGTTAATAAAAGGTGTACATTCTTTTAAAATAAATGGAAAATTTGAGAAAAACATATTTTAAACTTAATAATTGATACAAATTCTTAATTTGGTGATTTATTTATTGAAAGTCCTTCACTTACTAATCAAGACCATTTTAATTTCTATTGATTCAGGGCACATGTTTTGTGTCTATTTAATACCTTGATTTTTGTTTACCATTGGTTTTGACTACACTATATTATTTAAAACATAATGAACATAAATTTTCTCTGACCCCAAAGTGCGGTCGTTTGTCTGATGTTAAAAAATGCATATGTACCTGTTTAACGCACTTTGGGGTCGAAATTGGACCCCAAAGTGCGTAACGCACTTTGGGGTCGACCCCAAAGTGCGTTTGACCCCAAAGTGCGGTGTTACATAGCGCATTGTCAGTTTTCATTTATGTACAAAATGATTCTAAACTGAAGCGTTTCTCTTAGCTATATCACGACCGCTATTTTTTGGTTTCTTTCTGAAATAACGTACATATCGGCTTTATTAAAGCCGTGCGCACATATACTATTTACATTACAGCTTAGTATTAAGATTAACCTTTGAAAGTCTCTCTCATGAAAAGTGTATTTAATTATGCAGTAATAACAACAACATTCTTATATCATGTTTAATTACAATAATATCCGTTGATTAAGGAATATATAAATACATGAAAAAGAAAGAAAATTGTACGAAAATGAAAACAATTAAGGATAAAAAAGGAAGAAAAAAAGAAACAAACTAACACACACCAACGATTAGAAATTTATGGGGGAAAAGTGAACCCTCAGGAGCATTAAAAACAGCAAAAATTACAAGAAATTGCAGACTCCTGTTCATGAAAAAAATGCAACATCTCTCACGCCCTCTAGCCGGCTTGAGCGGTACTCAATTCTCAACATTTAAAAGTGCTGGGGTCAATAAACGCGAAGGATCAGAAAAAATACAACAACACTAAAGTGAAGTACTGGACAACTTTTAACGCCTGCCACACATCACTTGACAACTGCTATAAAAATCTGGAAACAAACTGATCCCTCGGAAGCAATAATCACAACAAAATTACATTAAAATTGCAGACTCGGTTTGACTGAGTCTGTACATGAGGTATAATGAATTAGTGCAACATGCCTCACGCCCCCCTAGCACCGGCTTGAGCGGTACTCAACACTTAATAGTGCTGGCAACAATGATCCGTCATGACTTCATGACAATAGCTCGGTATTAGAATACGACAATTTCATAATTTAAGCGTAGTGTTATGATTTGAAAATAAAATGACTTTTAAGAAATTATAGAATAATAATTGGCTTCTTCAATCGACTAAACTGATATATATTTTTTTTGATATCTGATACATGTACATAGATTAATCAGAGTGAAGAAAAAAATGTTGTTTTTTCGGATTACTTAAAGTGCTTTTACATAATTACATGTATAAGTATATATAATGACCTCACATGAGATGTTGTACAAATTTCTCGTTAAGCAAGTTTTGGAAATTATAAAGTTAATATAAGATAACAATGAATGTAAGATACTTTTTAACACAATGACTACAAGCATTCAGTTTACTAAATTAATATTTGTTAAGTTTTACGGGTTTTTTTTGTATGACGATGCAATATTACACGGACAAGAAGGGATGTAATACATGTATAATAAACTCTTAACTCAAATGATTTTATTGCGTTTAACATACCATATATTATTTTATCACACACCCGTGCCGATTTTGCGACTCCGTAAATATGGTATTGCACGGCCGTGCATATATTTTGACGTGACGTCATTAGCGTTATACAAACATAGTGTAAAGACGCGTTTAAATGTTAGCATTATACTATAGACGCGTCAATGAAAAATGACTCTTATTTCACTTTAAACGGTCTTTATTTTGGGTATGCGATAAATAGAATATTAAATTCGTGTAAGTTCATTACTGAATTTATTGTATCGCCTGAGGCTCGCATAATATAATTTTATTCAACTCGGTCAATGAATTCAGTATTAAACTTACACTCATTCAATATCCTCTATATAGCACACACAACATATCTACAGGAAGAAGACATGGATTTTTAAGGGGCACAAAAATACAATGTAAAAATCAATTCTTTATTGTGACGTACATGTATAAATAAATGTTATAGCTATGCTATTAATGTCACACTGTACATAGTATAATTTATAACATGTTTTAAAGAAAATAGGAAATATAGAACTTTGTTCTTTATCTGTAACTGATGGTCATTATCCGCCTTCTTCAGAATAAGAAAAATTAAAAATAATTTTCAATGCATTTCCTTAGAATAAGAAATTTCTGTTAACTGAAAAATATTTTATTAATAATTACACGTGCAAACCACTTTGAACATTGATTAGAGTTAAAATACAAGAACGCTTGCAGGAACACGACTAGAAAGGTATCCCCAAGGTCTGCATAAAAGTTCAATTATGAAGAATTAAACACCCTTTTTGCATCAACGGAATTTGCTGCTGTTCCTGAGCATTTGTAAATAGAAGAACTATATGCAAGTCAGTTAACTTCTTATAATAATTTAAGTCAGCTTTTGTCATAACAAAGTAACGCTTCACTTTTTACCTTCAGGATTCCTGCAAACACTGGCAATTCTGCATCAACCCACTTGAAATATCCAGCTTATATCCTACCAAACATATAAATAAACTATCCTACCAAACATATAAATAAAACGCAATATCCGTAAAACAAAGCGCAATTTTTTCCCGGACACGTTCTTTAATCTTTCGCATTTTCAATGAATTTGTTTTAATTAGTCGATGATGGTTTAAGCATTATATAAGACGTTCTTTTTGAAACATGATAATTACTTACCAAAAATATTCACAATTAGTACCAAAATGGTAATGAGCACGTTTCTAATCCTCATCTTTCTGTATATTAATTTTTAAAAATTAATTTTATTCTTTTCTTATAACAATATGGAATATATTTCCAAATACTAAATTGCAAAATACTGTATACTCCCTCTAAATAAGCTGTCAGAAATGACCGTCTTAAAAATTGTTTTTAAAGTGTTTTATACGGTTTTACAAAACACTTGTGATATTGTTATCTTAAAACCTTTGATTCCCGTTTTTACAATAGAGTTAATATTATCAAATCAGAGCATGTGAATGCGTTTTTTAAAAATGTAAAATGGGTGAACGTTGATACACAGTTGATATACAGTGGTACGACATTTTAACTTATTGAAAAATGAGCGAACAGTATAAAAATTATAATTTTCACAAATCATGTGCTAAAAAGAAAAAACCGGACCATGTATCACAATGTAAATAGTCGTTTCACAAGCTGATACACAATACAATAACGTATTTAAAGCAAATGAAGTCTCACATGGTCATTTGTTATTCTATATGTATCTACCTTATCATTAATAAAAATCCTAAAGTATTTGAAAGACTGCATTTCCAAAAATAGATGTCTTTCTTGCCGATTGATCTTCCATGTTAAATATTCACTTCAATAACCTCATTATAAGCATTCTTTATATACCATTTACTAACAAATTAAGCTATGGTGACGGGCCTCATTTTTTTTAATTCGTAATTTAACCGCCATGCATGCGCACAGCTGACTGGGTCATGCTTTCTGTCTTTTATTTAAATAATTTTATAAGTGTGCTGTCTATGTTTATTATGACAGGTAATTTATATATATCTATATTTATATGAGTGTTTTGATATATGTTCATTTATATATTTCATTTTCATTTATTTTATTATTTTGCTGGTATTATATATTTGAGGGAAGCACAGTATATTATAATACATTCGTAAAAATAATGAAAACATTATTTGTTTCTTTGATGTTGTATTATTTTTTTTATAGATTTGGTATCTCCGTATATCATAACAGAAGAGAACTTACAATTAGCTTAATGTTATGAATAACAAGTTTTGACCAGTATAACTTTTGTGCTTCTTGGTCCGAGCAAGGTATTTTCACGGCCTATGACGCTACTGCACTTCCACAGAACAGCCAATCAATGTTATATCTAGCACTACACATCTTTTTGCTACGTCATTGCTTATTTACACATATAGGGAATTCCCTACCTAGTATACTATCGAATGATTCTTTTATTCAAAAGTTATACTTACCATTATTTGGACTTAATTAATTTACCGGTATATTTCATCTATATAACATGATAAATATATAACTTAGCTATAGACTATTTAAAGTTTCTGAATGTATTTATACATTTGGTGGAGTTTGTTTTCATCTGGAATTATACCCGTTGATAAACAGATAGTGGTATCACTAATATTTGGTTTCTTGAATACACGTTTGTAGCTTATTGTTTTTGGACTAAACGGAACATTTCATTTGTATTTTGTAATAATGTATTAACTTTTTCATCATAAAAGATAAAACACTTTATCCGAGCATCATTAAGAATCAAACTCAATCCAAATTCAAATTTAACAAACCATTGCCTTTTGGTGCCTTATGCAATACATACATAATGAATTAATATAATTCACTTGAAATATGACATACATGCGAATCAAATATACAATAAATATAAAAAATGCAAAGCATATATGAAATGTTTAATGTATTTAGATTTTTATGTGAATAATTTATTTAAAAAATTACATAAAAATACTAAGAAAATACTAAAAGTCCTAAGAAAAATTTTGCTGCCATTGAGTCACACAAAACATATCGTGTGGACGCCGAAGGAGTTTTCTTTTCAAACAAACAGTTTTTATTGTTATGAATATTACTGCACTGGTATGTTTGCCTACCACTCAAATTATTTTTTCTATAGTACAAGACAATTGTCAATTTAATATTCAAGGAGCATTTGTCAGCCACGAAGGAATCCCCGCGACTGAAATGTATCCCTAGTATAACATTATTTTTAAATGTAGATATAATTTTTCAAGTAATACACTATTTTTCCGATCGTTTTCGTGTCTTTCGTTGACAGTTTTTTTAAGTTGTTAACCAATTTATAATTGACCATTACATTTGTTCAACTATCTTTGTATGAAAAATACATGCGTCAGATGTGATATGATTTACTCGTCTTTTCTCAGTTTGTTCACACCATGTCTCTTCTCCAAGCTTGCATACCTGAAATAAGACATGGGGGAAAATGTAAGTAAGTATTCAAAGCCCGCATCATGAACCTAATACTACGTCATGAATGATCGTGTAATACTTCAAAGCTAGTGTTAAACTACATTGCACTCAAATGTATTTCATACATGTTATCACGTTTTTGTAAAAAGTCAAAAAAATATATTAATGTTGATAAAATATATAATTTAAAGTCGAAGAAGAAATGTGTTTGTAAACAGGTAGCTAAATAGAGCTTTATACCCTTCAAGGTTTTTTTTCCAATTATTTCGTGAAAATAAGTGTTATTTTATCATGTTTCGTGAAAATATATTCCATATTTCACTCAAACGAAAATATATCCTCCTAGTATATTCACAAGTTTAAACATGTATAGAAGTTAATATATTTATTTACGTATTGGATTTGGCGGTGGTCTCCTTGGATTTACTGAAAGGGAACAAAAGTAGTATTTTACTTTTAATACAGACATTAAAAGATCAGTTACATTTAAGAAGTATTATCCTTAAAATAATGATGAGCAAGTACTTATCTTTTCCATATATAGCAATTATTTATACATTTAATCCAATATGCCATTAGATTATAGAAATTTGGCAAATACAAAATGTAAACTTATACAATAAGTACAGTATAAACCAAAGCTCCACCCACTTTCATGGCCACTCCTTCTGTTCCAAGAGGAGTCCTCTGCAACAGAATCCAATGAATACTTCCTTCTTTTATGCCCAAAACGTCCTTTTTTCTTAGGGTTTTGTTTACAACTGGAAAAATTCAAGAATAGGTTGAAATGAAACAAAAAGAAAAAGGTGAACACATCTATCTATTATTGTCCAAATTATTGACACAAAATAGAGAACTTTGTCAAACCTGATTAAATTAAAATATTCTTAATTTTCTACTGGATATTAAGTTTGTATATGTATTATAATCTTGTTTACTTGTTTTTAATAACTATCACATGCATATAGTGTTTATCTTTAATGGTGTATTGTAAATGGTTAAAAACCCTTAAAACTGTCAAGACAGAAACAAAACAAAAACAACCGAAAAATATTGTAACTGCTTGAAAGATTTCATATAATGTTATACTAGTTAAAAGATACATAAAAGTTTTTAACGTGTTCGCAAAAGACATTAAATACTTACAAAGTTTTTGCAAATTGGCCACACCCATTTTGTCCATGGCACGTGAAGATGACGTAAACAAGAACGCCAAGACAGACAAGTAAGGCAACAATGCATGCCGACAACCAGGCGATATTCTTATTGTCTTCCAGGAAAGAACGATACCTATCAGTGGTGGTCGTTGTACTTGTGGTCGTAGAATCTGAATAATATAGTGCATGGTGAGATAATAACATAGTGCATTGTGGGATAGTAACTACAGGTATTCCAAACAGGAAATGTCAAAATGACACATATGCGCCATAATTATCTTTTAAAATAATAGGTTTACAACAATTTTAATAACCATAGTCGTTTCTAGTGCAATATGATATAAAACAAGGTGAATGTGACCTTGACCTTAGACCCTCTACTCTTAAAATCAATGGTCAACTACTGGCCAAGACCAATGCACCTGTGAAGATGTAGGGCCAAGTGGGCCAAAGAATGGGTTGTCGAGTTACTGGCCAGAAACCGAGTTATTGGTCGGAATCATGGTGAACATTTAACCCCAAAATCAATAGGGTTTATCTACTGGCAAAGACCAATGCAACTGTGAAGTTTGAAGAGGTTTTCTAGTTTTTGGTCGGAAACCGTTCTGATTTAAAAAGTGGTTCATTTACTGGTCATGATCAATCTCCATATTAAGATTGAAGTCCCTAACCCTTCTTCGGAGGGTGACATAATAAACAATATAAATAGTGTTGAAAGAATAGAATATAAAACCATAGCAAATAATAGCTTAAGCTCATAATAATGATGAAACAATATTTGTAGCGCCTGAATGAAATAGACAATTGAATTTAAGTAATTATGAATTATTCCATTGAAATAATGTCAAAAGTTGTTGCACTAATACGTAGTCTTAATTGGTAATCTAGGGAAATCCTTAGCCAACAGACGGTGACCAGTGCAGACCAAGATCACTGAGTATGGTCTGCACTGACAGCTATTCGATCACTAAATATCTTGGAACATTCCATGAAATGGTTTTGTCCAGAATAAAAATTGGACAAGTCCATTAAAGTATTTAGCGGGGTATTGATTAGCAAAAAACATTCCGGTTCTAAATACATTTAAATATAGTGATAAACATTTAGCTTAAGTTATCTGAGCACCGACAACCTACCGGAAATTATAAGGACGACAGACGCTGTATCTGTCCTGGCTCCTATATCAGAAGCCGTAGCTGTAACCGTGACTGAAGTACCGAATGCTAACCCACTGCCCTGTGGTGACGAAAGCACAGTTATTTCGCCAGTAGTGCTAATTCCAAAATATTCTGCAGGCAAGGAACTCTGGTCCAAAGTGTATGTTATGACGCCATAAGCACCGGTATCGGCGTCAGTTGCGGTGACTGTACCGATAGATGTGCCGGCGGATGCATAGTAACTGATGTGGAAACTGTACGTGGTAGGAGAGAAGACTGGTGAATTGTCGTTATCATCAGCTTTTTTGTAAAAGAAAGGAGCCATTACATGTATTTCAATATTTTTTGAAAACGCAAGAACTACATCGAAAGAAAACAACGCCTCTGTTTACTTATAATTATGCTACAACGTTATAGTGCATTGTGTACAAAACATTTCATTGCAGGTAACAGGAACTTAGAAAAGCGTTTTTTGTTTCAGCAGAGAGAATGATAAGAAATAGAAAATACGTACATATTGTTATTGTCAAAGTGGCTGTATCTGTGAGGGCCCCGCTATCGGTCACCGTCACTGTACACGTGACACTGGTCGGAAGAGATCCAGAGTCAAGGTCATAATCAGATTGATAGCTCACTTGCCCGGATGAAGCCATAAGGAAATATCCGGTATAAGCACCGCAGTCATTGGTCAATGTTTTTGTATCACCGGTGTCAACATCGGTTATACCAAAGGGCGGTGTCCCTATCACAGTTCCTGCCTAGTAACAGAGAGGAACATAAAAAGTTACACATTTGAGGTAAGCTGAAGCTAAAATGAGCTACAACTGATTTATTCAAAGCATTTTATTATACGGATCTACTCACAGTGATTGTAACTTGATGAACGGTAACTGTTACATACATTATCAAATATTTGTTACATGGAACAGCTCCAACGTATCTCATAACTTTGTTTGATTGTGTTAGAAGAAAATACAGTCTAAGATGAGCTGCTGATGACACTTGTACACAGTTTGTTTTGCCAAGACGCAGGGCCAGACTTGCTGACAGATCTATTTCTGTTATGGGACCTAAATGGTGGAACGCCCTTCCAAAAGACTTAAAGTGCATTGCATCGGAAATTGCATTCAGAAAAAGACTGAAAGCGCACCTCTTTGAACAAGTTTATAGATAAACAGTTTCGTCAAATGTGTATATAGTTTTAAACTGTGGAAATGACTTTGACATTGTAGGATCTTGTGAAGCGCAACAGAATATAACTGTATAAAGTATATAAAATAACTATGATTGATTGATTTATTGATTCATGATCTTGATGTATATTTGTTTTCATTTGCTTCTGACTTACATTGTATTAGATAGAAAATAGAATACCTAAAACGTTATTGTTAACAATATTATTATTTGGATAATGAAAATAATAGTCAACACATAATTTGAGAATAATACTAATATGGAAAACATACGTTTCCCTCTGTTGTTGAGATTGTATAGCTGGTCTGGCTGAATGAAGGTGCCTCATTTTCGTTTATGACTTCAACTGTTAGAGTCTTCGTGTCTGACGTCACAGGATCAGACACAGTGACGTCAAGGGAAAATGTCGTTGTTCCGATCGTTTCGTAATCAATTGCACTTAAAATCGACACTTGTCCAGCTAAATCAAATACATAAAAACAAAACACTTGGATAAGGCATAAAACAAGGAAATGATATGTACTTGATACCTAAACTAATCTTTGTTTTAACCACATAAATGTTGGTGATAAACCCTCCATACTGTAATTCATGACGGATAAAATGTTTCATATCGACCGAATGATTATGGTTTATAACATAATGAAAATATAAAATAAATCTTCATTCACTTCTATGCAACACAAGGTGTTGTGAAAACACTGGTGTTATTGTTGTGTGAAATCTGAAATACATTGTTGATAATTCATTACTCACTAGATGAAATGCTAAAATATGTCAGTCCAGTTCCAGATGTAGCCATTGAAAATATATGAGCCTGTGAGGTGTCACTGTCACTGTAGGAAACGTTGAAAATAACCGTTCCAACAGCCGTGTTTTCCACAACAGTTACCGTCAAGGGGAGATTGGAAACAGTTACCGGGTCGTTGATATCTGTATATATATATTTAAAGTATTCATTATCAAAATTATGTTGAGCAGTTATTATTAGAAATTATATACCCTTATGTTGTAACAACAAAAGCACAAAATAGTCTCTATCCATATGTGTGTTCACAAAGAACATAGCAAACTTTTTACATTCGGATTTTGTTGATCTGAATTGACGACATCATTCAAAAACACTTTGATACTTTATGCAAGTGTTATAATCTTCTGATTTCGTAGAAAAGCTAGCAACCATTTTGATAAATAAATCAACGCTTTCAAATTTCAGAAATATTTGGACACAATAAGGACCACTCTTCTGACCAATATCAAAATTAGAATGAACCCTGCCTGCCCTAAGCTTACACAAGTACATAAAACAATTAAATGGTTCATGCAATATGTTTTTGAGAAATTTTAAGATATGAACGTTGATATTGATAAAAAAACCTTTGTCAACATGTGTCAATGAGATGAATATCAGATATGCGAAGATAGGGTTAATTTACTTATCATTATATATCGTTTCAAAATCTTTTCAACGAAAATATTACCAATAGTATCAAAGACATGAATTTGTTTCCTTATTATTCCGGCAATCTTATGGTTACAAGCAACATAACAATACTTGACAGAAAGCACTTTGCATCGCAAAAGATCACATGTAAATCCATAAAATCATGATAATTGGCAAAATATTCATGTTCAGATTTACCTGCTACTGTAATTGTTAGGATTTTTGGACCAACAGTATTCCTAGCATCAGCCACAGTTATATACACGTCATATCCAACAGTTGTATGTCCTGATAGGTCCTCTGTTATCTGTATTTGTCCAGCTAAAATTAAAAGAGCAAATGAACAAATGTGCAGCAGGTTATGTAAATGTGTACTTTTATTCAGATCAGTTGGAAATATATTTAATGTTGTTGTTTTCGTAGATTGAAACGTTGCCTTTATAATGAACAATGTTGTTGCGGCTAGATCGAGCGGTTGACGCTTCGGACTAGAAATAAGGATTACTGACAGGGGGATAGCAATTGTTACACCATTGCTTACTAGTGGTTGGTACATGGTAACATCAAGTTTCAACCCGTTGATATTATCAAAAGACCCTCATACGAAATCTCGATGTCAGGTTTTAATTTTCTTTTCCGTATCGGTTACCACCCTTAGACCTTTTAGGTGTTTACTAACTAAGAGTATGTTTGTAATTTTAATGATGTTTTCGGTATACAAAAATCAAATCCCAATTAAGGTGGTAACAAAATGTTAGCAGTTGACAAGATAGTGTCAACGGAGGCAGCTTTTCTCAGGTGAACAATCTGTTGTATAACCCATATTGGGATGTGAAATTCATTGATATGATACTCCTAAATCCAGCTTATATAGCCTCAGCAAACTATTTATTGTTATTTGAAAATATTGAATTAATATTTTCAAGATGAATATCAAATCTATGATTAAAAACCGAGTAGTGTATGGTTAACATAATTAATCTGAAAATAATACATGTTTTGGTGAATTAACTATGCAAAACATTTTATTGCGGTCTGAGTCATGCAACATAGTTTTAATGAAAATCAAGTTTTATTTAGAATTAACATAAAAACTGGACATGGAAAGCATGAAATGTAACACTGAAAAATTTTCACAAAAATTTGTGATACAATAGAGCTTGTCAATAACATAATGCAAATGAATTAAAATGGACTTTAGAAAGATCTCGATGTCAAAGCATTTGAGAAATATTTAAAATGTCACTTAAAATATAGCTAACAAAAATATCTTAGTTCGACTTTTAAAGACTTACATATCACTAAAGATGTGTATGCCTAATCATGTCAATTATTTGAAAATGAAATCATATGCAATAGCTTACAAGCAAATATTGCGAAGGGACAAGGTGTAGGCACACATGTCATTGTATACGATACGTCATCCGTGTCGTAAACAAGGACCGTAAATGCATTAGTGCCGATTGTGTCTGTTGTTGAAATTGACGTAGAATCTGAAAAGTAAATTAACATTACTATATTTTACATAGCTCTGTGTTTTTTTTCTTTATTCTCGTAAGTAAATTGCTAAAATTTTACAATGTTCTTATTGAAAACACTCAGGTATAGCATACAATGACATACACTTTTACTCACTGTGACTTTGATTTATCTCCTTTAATTGTTAATGAACATGGTTTTTTAAAAGGTTCAAGAAAAAAATATAAACTTCTCACACATTTTGATAGCAATTTCATAAATGTTTAAATTCTGTTTAAACTTTTTGTTAAAGCTTAAGAAATGACGTTTTATCATTCTTGATCATTCCGAGGGATCACTTTGTTTCCAGAATTTGATTCATACTATGTAATATGTAACGTTACATCAGATGTTGTTTATATACTCGTATCTGATGACGTAACATACTAAGTAGTATGGCCGCAATGACCTACTTGTTTAAAATAATTGTCAAGAAAAATATTACTTTGAAGGTTGAGGAAGACAGGTGGCACATTTTTGATTATCGAAACAGTGAAAGTACCACTGTCTGTGTATTGTCCGTCCGAACAGTCTATTGATAAGGTGTAAGAGCTTGTAGTAGCATAATCAAATCCTGGCGATGAATCACTGGTAATGATTTTGTCTATGAAAGCAGAAAGTTACATAATATTTAAAATCAAAATCTTTTTAAAAAACAGCTTGTTGAATTTCAAAGTATATAAAATACATTTGTAATTTTCATAATCTTCAGAAATCACATGTAACGACAAAAAACATAAGAAGTAAAGAATCAGAAAATAAAAAAATAATAATTTACTATCAACAATTTGCCAATAAATTTTGCAATATAAGTTGTATTATCATTTTCTTTAAGATGCATACTATTTACAATAAGTCTTATTCTATTTTTGCAATAAGGTCAAAGCATTGATCAACCCTTAGCCTGCCGGAACCGGAACGGACTAGTCATTGCCGCCAGTATAGAGCCGAAATACCATACTTTCATCGGACTGTTAGCAGGACAGACTCAGCAAGTTCTGGGTAAATCAGTGATTAATAAGACAGTAACGATAACAGATATCATTGCATTAGAATGGTACCTTATGTTCTTTTCTTTCTAAGATGTCCTCGAATATATGTAATGAATCATTCATAATGTCATCGTCGGATACCCACGAGTAACATTTAATCAAATGCTAATGGTTCGGTCGTGGGTATTTGACGATGCATTCATATACTTAAAGTACCATTGTTTTCAGAACTTCTCAAGGGCTCTTAATCTAGTTATATATGGTTTAGATAATGATACATGTATTTACAGAAAGTATTTACAAAAAATAACTTTCGAATAATAAATACCCGTAAGTCCAATAGTAAACGGTGCTCCGGCAGGTGTTGTGCTTGCAATACTGCACGTGGTTGCGCTTCCCTCGGGATCGGTTACGCTCACTGTAAATAGAGACGTCGCGGTAGTTTCGTCCTCGCTTATAGAGTTCGAGTCTGGAAGGTTGGTTATAGTTGGGGGCTTGAATGAAAAATATGGTTTTAAGAAAAAATAGTGTACCCCTTTAAAGAATTAGAAATAAAAATTGCAGAATATAAATGAATCCTTAGACTTTATCCTGTACATTGCAATTAATGATGCAACAATGTATGTATGTATTCTAGGCTTAATAAGGGTTCATCAGCCCTTTCAGACACTAAAAGTACGGACCCCAGACATGTCACAATTCATGTCCTAAATTATTATTATCAACCAAAAGGTGACATATAAATTTTGAATTCGGTAATTCAGTGAATGATCCTAAATATGTATGCAAGTCGATGAGGACGTGAAATTTCATTCATGTATATCATTCTTCTTCTAAAGCAATTTCCAAACATCAAAGAATATGTTAAATATATACTGCCAATGTTTACACGCATTATAAGTAATCAATAAAATCTATGTTGAAAAATTTGGGTTAGACTTTATCGAAAAAAAAGTTCTATTATCTCCCTTTATTTACATGAAATGTAAATTCGGTAATATGATAATATATTTCTGACTTAAAGCAGTTTAACACATTTACATGTAAGCTTTTGTATGTTGACTGAAGTTTAATGCTTAAATTTATAGTTTAAAGATAAAAATATGAAGTTTAGACAAAACAATAATATGATATTTATATGAAGGTCTGGCTTTCATATAAGTATGCTACCAAGTAATCTGTTTACTGAGGGAAGTAAATTATTTTAAATACCTGGTTTGTAATTGAGACGGTAAGTGTAGCAGTTGCAGTATTTGAACACTGGTCAGTTACTTTAAATACTAGCTTGTCCACAGTTGTAGTGGAAAACGTGGTAGCTGTAGATACTTCATCTTCAATGAAAAAGCATAACTTACTTAAGTGAGAAATAAGAGAGCAAAGTATTGAAACATTTTGGTAATTATTGCTGCAGATAAGCAAATTAAAAGCATAAGGCAGTAAAAAATAGACTGGGGAAATATTGGTATAAGACATTTTTATATTGAGATGACAAAGGGCAGTAAATTATTGACAAAGGAGAGCATAATACTTGGGGCAGCAAATGTTGGCACGAAGCAACAAATTTTGACACGGGGGACAAAAAAATATTGACAAGGGGCAGCAAAAAAATGACCTAATACTGACATAAAAAGGCAAAATATTGGTAAAGGAATAGAGAAAAGCAAAATATAGACTCAATGTAGCTTTTTCAAGTAGACTGATATAGGACAGCAAAATATTAACGAGTCAACAAAATATTGACAAACAGCAGCAAAATTTTGACAACACACATTATGATATTGCCGTAAGATGGCAAATTGTATTTGAGGGACAACAATATATTGACAAAATATCACAAGGACAACTAATTATTAACCTATGAAAGCAAAATATTTACGAAGTAGAGCAAAATCGAAATCATATAGGGCAGCACAATTTTGACATGGAGAGTAAAATATTGCAAGACGGCAAAACTAAACTGAAAAAATGAAAGAAATATTGCGCAAGACAGCAAAATATTGACATACACCGCCAAAAATTGACCCGAGGCATCAAAAAGCCATTTGACAATAAAATATTGACATTGATCAGCAGAAAATTGATATTGATAAGCAGATAATTGACAAACAGAAGCAAAATATTAAAAAATCGCTGCAAAATATTGGCCTAAGACAAAAGAAAAAGTCATCAGACAATTGATTATTGACATTTTGCTGCAGATAATTTACAAAAGGCAGGAAAACATTGACAAACGGTAACGAAATAAAGGCCTTAGACAAAAAATATCATAATGCCATTAGACAGTTGGATATTAACATCGTTTAGCAGAGCATTGACAGAGAAAAACATGGATACAAGGTAATAGAATTTGGATGCTAAGCAAATTTAAGAAAAAAAGGAACATTTTGATGTAAGCTGCAAACAAATGACACATGGTGTGATCGTGTCAAGTCATGGGAAAGGCATCAAATATTTTCATAGGAAGTACTAAAATATTGACATAGTGTACCATAATATTTATAAAGGATAGCAAATTGTTAAAGCAGGACAACAAAATATTGACATAGGGAAACAAAGTATTAAAAAGATAAATACATGTATTAAGAAATGTCACCTTTATGTTATCGCCGAAATACAATAATCTCAATTTAGATTTTAAATAGAATTTATTCGTCTATTGATAAGAGAATATAGGTGTTCGTATGACCATTCCACTCAGAAAAAAATATATTTGAGTGAATCAAAACTGCCTCGTACCGTTCATTTTGAAATCAAAAGCCGCAATCTAAGAAAACAAAGCATGTTTCTGTCCAATTTATTTTAACTTTAATTTATAAATATTTGATGATAAGGTATGAAAATAGACAAGAAATTCTAGTCTGTTAAAATTTTGCGAAAGTTTGAAAGATACGATACAGTTGGTATTATTACATATTTAGCGGTTTTTTACTCAGTTATTGTTTTAGAGGTAGACACAGGCAACATTTTTATTTTTTCGATTTGATTTTTTCATTCATTATTCTGAAAATGTCCTCAAATGAATACACTAGGCAGTAACAGGGACAAAAGTTTTGTCCTTATAAAGATTAAAATTGGGGTTTCCAAACTTGATCCACGTGGGTCAGGTTAGAGCGTTAAGATTTCACAATAGTTGTCACAGTTAACTCTGGATATGTTAATGAATATATCAAATGAATGCCTTAGACATGTTTCAATCATACAATATCCAAAGTATCTGTTATTGTAACTTCCGGGGTTTGTTCAAGTCATATGCCTTGTTTTAAAACTACTCGGTGATTCTGTCGGAGTCTAAATTTCGTTCAACATGTAAAGCTCCATACCCAATAACATTTTTGTCATTTATTTGCCCGAGTATCTCTTTAGTATCCGGTTTAAAGCGCAAAATTAGATACTTGGAAGCATGTGTGATTGTGTTTCAGTCCATTTTTAAGCAGGCAATTCCTTTTCAGAAGAAATAATAAAGAGTATATTTGTAATACGACGCCGTTGAAATTAATGTTATATGATACGACGCAATTGACCTTTGCTTTCCAAGACGGTTGCTTTTGTTTCACAAAAAAACGCATACGACGCAGGTATGACTTCAAGCCTTGATTGTAAAATGATTAAAATAATCAATGAAACAAGCATGGAAGTCAGACGTGTATGCAGTTCATACTTCCTGTTCTTGTTCTGTACTATAGGCCTATCTCACTAATGGTTGACCACTTTATAAACAATAGACTGTTCCGAAGGCTAAGTAGGACATTTCAGTTTTTAATGAAGAAGGGAATAAGAAATTAACAATACATGTATGACTTACACGTGGATCCATCAAAACTGTAGTCAGAATTGGCGGTCATACTAATGCTGAGGGTGTTGATGTCGTATGTGTCAATATCAGTGACGCTGATGTCAAAAATAGAAGTACCGGAAGCAGTATTTGCGGCTACATTGACAGTATCTGGCAAATTTGTGAATGACGGGTCGTTATCTGCAATATAATATTCTGATCATATAAAGTCAATAAAAATACCTTGCTACAATTGCAAGATATACAGATATAAAATAAGGTTGACATATAAAGTACTTGTCATCCTGCTTTATTAGTCGCCGGTAGAAACCGGCGACTATATTTGAAACAGTTTAATATTATACCTATGGTAGGAAAAGCCCTTAAAATCTGAAAATAAAAGCGTTTCAATCATTGAACAATTAAAGACCACAATTATTTTTAAGTAATCTCAAAAATTAAAACATATGATAACTTTGCTCAATGAAATGAAATACACAAATATTACATCTTAAAAAGCAACATAACAATTTTCATAAACTGAATCAATAATGTATCCCTAAGGATCAGTCATTGAATACTAGGAATACTTTTACTTTTTTTCTATGTGTCAAGCGTTGTTATTTTACGATATCTAAATCATGAATGATATTAAAAATGACACTTATAAAATTATTTGGTTGTTTATATTTAATGAGACCTATTATTTTACATTATTTTATCTAATTATAAACTCTTTTGTAAGAATCATGTGACTACATGATGTTTGGTATCGTTATAAAATCTATTAATAGTAACAGATTGCTGATAAGACATACAGGTAACTTGTTAATGGTTGGCAAAAAAGCATGGCAGCTGATATGATGCAAATCATTGTAATTTTGTATAAATAATTACATAAGTTATTTTCATTAATCAGTTTCATATTTTATATTATTAGAAAAAACTGTATACTCATATTTTACACATTAAAAATAAATTTTCAAAACTTTTTCCTTTTTTCTTACCAACTTGGCCCTTTCTGACAAGCTTTTGAAAATAAAGTTCAATAGTTTAGTTGAGGTTGAACATCACAAAATAATTTTATGCTGAAGAGGCACATTATTGAATAATAATAATGGTAATCGTTGATTTCGTTATATTCCGTCATTTTATGTACTTACGTACACTGATTTTTTTATTCAGAGTTTTCATACATTTACTTTACATGAAAATGCTTAAGCCATTGTGGTGTGTATCAATTAAGCACACATACATTTTCAAATTTATTTAATCTACACTAAATCTTCATCTCACACCTTTGCATTGTTTTTTTTTTAATTGTAGTACCTAAAATATAACTATATATATCCAATAACAATATCCATCCTTATATTACTCATTGTTTAAGTAACGGAATCGATTTCGCTTTTTGCCCAAGCGCGAAATATTAGTGCTTTGCTATTGGGTCATTTTACAGTATTTAAGCAAAGCTATGAGATGTTGAACGCTCATAGCGATCAGCAGCCTATTCCGACAGAAAAAAAAACAACAACACAAAAGCTGCTTCCTGAAGCTTCCTGAAATCCCAATTCTCTCTATTTGAGTATTTGAGATTAAACGTGACACTTCACATTGATATGTTAACCACGGCAAGTTTTGTACACTAACATTCCAACATAATGCATAAGTAAACTTACTGTCTTGTACATCCATCCTAATTGCATATGATCGTTCATCTACTACGGTGGCCCCGGACCAGTCTTGAGAAGCTCCCTCTGACAGTGAGCCCAATGTCATCATCCAGTTATCATCTTCTTCACCACCTCCATTCTTATGAGATATCATATCATTTCCATTAGTCCACCTTCAAAATATATAAGTAATAGAAAGAGCATCGAAACACAAGGCTATCTGGTTTGTACGAGTGGGCGAAGCCGCCCGAGTATTAATCAGATTGTCGAGTGTTTTTATGTACTTTCTCTTTTGTATCATAGTCAAACATAAAAATACGTACCCTTGTTGTCACAATATGAAAACCCCAAAAAATGACCGTTGAACGAGCATCTGATTATGGTATTTCCATCGTTTTCTCTTTCTCTGCCGTGGCAATAAGTAAACCCAAGCAAAAATGAACCAATCAATGCTTTAGAGTGCAGGTAATTAATACCTGCACTCCAGTAAACGCACTGTGCATGTATATGTATACGATATAACTCTGACACATTTTCAACAGACAGGTTCCCAAACTATGACTCAACTTTAAAATATGCAATGCACAGTACTTCATCTTCAAATGATACACGCATAACTTCGCTTTATGTATGATCTATTGCTTCATCTTCAAAATATACAAGATCATGTACTTCACCTTCAAAGTTTAATAACCCCATTACTCCACAGCAAATAGAAATTATAAATCTTCCCTTAAAAGCGCAATGTTCAGAATAAACAGGAGCTATTTATACACCATTCAACATGTGCAAAGACTTTCCAATATCTTTGTACCAGATCAGTTACTCCATCTTTATGATGAATAACCCCGCCTTAAAAATTTGCAAATTCGATTACGACACCATCAAGAAATATTAAATAATTCTATCATTAAGGTGTACAAGATCATAAGTTCCATCTTGAAACATGCAAGATCTGTTACACCACCTTCAAAATAAACAAGATGAGTTATTTTGTTTAAAAATATGCGTAGTGCATTAACCGATCTTTAAGGTTTTTGCGAAATCCATGACCCCACCCCACCCCCACAAAATAAACAGAAGCCATCAAACCACTTATAATATCTGCAATATTGGTAATACTACCTTCTGAATATGTATACATGATTGCAGTCATTGCATGAGATATGAAAAGATATCTTTTACACAAGTTTTGCAGAAAGACAATGAAGGTGTGCGACATTTAATAAAGTAAGTTAAAGAATCATTGTGTTTCTTTAAATGCCATTGGTGTCAGATGTGTAAAGTGATATGAGAGGTTTTGAATGAGTAAGATGTTTTTTTTTAGAACAACCGATTCGTGTTTTTAATTATTTACCTTCATTGTAAAATAAGTTGAAACGACAAAAAATAGTGTCATTTGTGTTCTCTTAATTGCTTTATGTGCAATAATATGTTGTTGGTGTACTGTTCCTTTATTCTTAAATAAAAGCATATCCCTTTCCGTTTGTAAAAGGAAACGTCGCTGATAGTCAGGATCAAGGCGGAAATCAAGAAGGTTTTTTTTTAATTATTAATGATTGGGACATTATTATGTGTTATTGCTATAAAAAAAATGCAATAAATGGTTTCATTCCCAGTGTTTAAACATGACAATTAATGAATATTAAATTCCACAAAAGTACAATAATGTGGTGTTTGCTACAAGTAGGAAAATGGACGAATCAGTTGAATGAAACGGGATTTAGAAAAAAGATCAGCTTATTGGAATGTTTAATGACAAACTGAACCTTTTTGCGATATACTAAAAAAACGAACATTGATAAAAGAAATAATGAAAGGTTTAATAGAAGACCTGATTGGAAATTTGAAGAATTCTTACATTGAAAAGAAAAAAAGAAATCTTGTGATGTATTATGTACCGCCAGAGTATCTACTAGAACGATAGGGGATATGAATGATGAGGACAACCGGACATTGTATGATAAGATGTTGTTTACAATTGTTGATGATAATGTAAGTCCATCTGTAATCGAAAACCCACGTGTAATTGTAAAGAAATCACCAGCCAAAGTACGTGTTTAGAATCACAGTTGAAAGTCATCAAATAGCCTATTGAAATATTGAAAAGAATTAAGGATTTGATAGAATGACATAAAGAATATGCGGGGTATGTAAAACATGTGTTTATACATTTAGCAGGCGTGTGTCAAATAAAATAGTTACATACCAACCAAATTTATCACCAGACTTGACAGTAATTCTCTGTGACTGTCCAATGTTCACTGACTGCTCACCTCTTGATGCTAGATGAATCAAAATAATAGGGTTAAGGTCGTCATAAATTACCTCTTTTTCGTGAAAATGAAAACGTTTAAAAAGTCATATCAAAAAGACTTATCAAGATATATTGATTTTAGTACTTTTATCACATTATACTGTCAGTTCAAATTAAGTAATATTAATAGGTACTTACATACGGTGAAAGAGTTCTGACCAACAAGGTCCATTGTGGAACTACCGGCAGTGACTGGTCTCCAAACCTGGAAGTAAACAGTTCTACTTCCAGAGATGCTTTCAAAAAAAGCCTCCCATTTGTCCACTATTCCACAACAGTCAATAATGTACTTAGACTCGCTCATCACGTATCCGAAATCTACAAATAAAAGTAGAGTAGACTTGACAATTAAAATAGGCAGAATCATATGACCGGAGTCTAATATATGATAGATATTGTGTGTTGTAAACATACCAATGTAATTGGAATCACTGATTACATAATGCTAGAACCAAACGATAAAGTTACCATTCAGTGAGAATTACTCTTGGATATCGAGAAATAGAAGTTATTAAAACAATAAACAGCGCAGTTTATTCATCTCCGAGATAAAAAAAAAATAGTGAGTTAGTCTTGATACGCAAAACCTGATTTGATATTGAAAAAAAAATTATCATTTGAAAGACACCACATCCATAGTTTCTAAAAATGTAATTAAAAATGTTAACACAATCATTATGTCTTATTTATTATTCAAAAAAGGCAACCCGCATTTGACTGATGGTTTTATTTTGCTAGCGGCACGGGCCCATACGCTTTGCTACTTCCAAAGAATAGGCAATCATATTGTTTAGAAAGCAATTTAAAAAAATTTCACTCATTAATGTTACACAATTATTAGGAAACAAATTTACAAAGTATCACTTATCGATACCCGAAGTCCAAAAAATGATTAAAATGAAAACCTATTACCTTATCTTATGTAAATTGGACGAACAAAAACGTCTTTTTGAAATACATGGTATACAGGAAAAGCTTCGATTTATTAATGGGGAGATCATCGGCGAAAAAATCAAGCAAACAAATAAACGATTCATTATGAAAAAAAGAAGAATTCAATTAAGTGGAAAGAAATCAAATACAAATACAAACATGTATTCGGCATAAAACACAAACATGTATGTTTATACTATGTTGATTGCCTAGCCTATACAAATCCTATGCTATGTGACCAAAAGCACAAAAAGACAAGAAATCCTTACAAAATGAAAATATTTTTCTTTACAGTTAAAATCATACAGTTATCAGAAGAGCCTTGTTTCACTAAAAGAAAATAAAAATTAAAATAAAAAACTCTATTTAAAAGGAATGATAAAAGCATATATATCTTATGAAATGTTTTATATTAATCTACATTGTATTTCTATGTCCTAATTTCCCATATGCACCAAAGGTTTTCATACCTATAAAATACAAGTAACATTTCTTTTTGAAATTCCCAAAGTTTTATACTGCTAGATAAGTTTGTAAATTTCAAGGGGATAAGTTTGTAATTTTCAAGGGGAAAAGCACCTAAACAAACTTATGAAAAATGTATTTATTTTTTCAGAGATAAAACTCTTTTTGTAATTCCAATGAAAATGAGTTAAAAAACCAGGACCATTGAAGGTCTATTAAGACAGCAAAATCAGTGAAATGTTTGAGGCCCGTTGTAATTGCAAAATGTTGGCATTTTGACAAAATGTATATTCGCGTCATTTTTCATTTTTTGCTTATATTGAATATCAAAATCATCTCATACTTTATTTATTTATTAAGATGAAATCAATTATTACTGTGATTAAAAAGTGATCTTATTACGCTTGAAATTTACTATACAAATTCAGAAACGACAAAATTATATTTGTAAAGGTTTAACTTTGGAGTATTTATCAACTTTCATTCTTTTTATTCAGATCAAAAAGCAACTTAATGTTACAGTAAATACTCGAGTGAAAATCAAATAATGTTCCATAGGTTTTATAAACATTTTTAAAAAAAGATGTATTCACGGTGTTCAACAAAGAACGCGTGTTTCCAAACCCCCTTTACATAGAATACGTATCAAAATTGTACATAAATGCACGAACCCATTTGCTTCATATTACATCTGATTTAATTGTGTACACGCTTTTTACCCTATGTATGAAACAGGCTATGTAAATAAAATTTCTTAAAATATTTTTTACTGTTGTTAGAAATACAGATTGCGGCCATGTGTTAGTATATTTTGTGCATATGAATTGTGGGCTACTGTTTATGTCAAAATATTGTTTGACAAATAGTATTGTAAGAAAGAGGTGCATATACTGATTAATTGTGACATACACGAACATTTTCAAAATCGCGGAAAAGGTGAGCTCCATCGAGAACTATGAAAACAAATTATAATGTGAAAACGCAGGTGCGCTTTGTTTTAGTCTTTCCATGTGCAACATCTTTCACCCCCTCTCCAGCACAGGCTAAGGCAGCATAATATCTTAATCACAATAAAGCATTGGATTCAAACTGTGAAACGTTAACGTTGTGTCCACTTCATGATCTTTATAGTTTCTCGATTTTATCAAATTTATACAGTGTTATTGTTCAGTTCAATGATGCCTGCTCAATAAATTTACAAAAAGCGCAACCCTGGCTGTGGCTTGCTGTACGTTTTATGTAAATCAGACAAATTATTTAATCTTATAAAAAATATTAAAAAAGAAAGCACGTCTTATTATATCTTGTGCTTCTTGTACAATAAGTGTTTGTAACTTACTTGAATTGGAGCCAACGTCATTATCTTTATCTTTTGGGTCGTTTTCACCAAAATGCGTATTTCCGCAAAGTGCGCCATCTGCAAATACAAATAAATAATAAGTTGATAAGCTCATATTGTTTTGAATATCATAAATATGATGACACCTAGAATAAACTATAATTATCCTGTTTAGAAAATTGAAAGAAATCATGGCAACAACAACATCAACACAAAAGAACAGCCTCATAAAAAATATAAAAAGCAACAACAAAAAAAGTAATTTGTATAAGGCGATTTTCTCTTCAAAAAAGGACGGAGCAAAAAAGATCAGTATTTATTTTGGCGTAATAAGCAAGAAATGAATTTCCATTTGCTCACATGATGAAAATATAATGATTCATGTATACCAGAAACAACTTGTTTAGTACAAAATACCCAAAACTGCGCGACATGACTTGAACATTTACTACAGACTTTTACAGAAGGAGACAGTACTATCATAATAAAATTACATTAGGCAATGCAATTGCATATGCCTGATTTATCTATTTATGTACCTATTTATGATTTTAATATATTGACCTACAGGTTTTACTTCATTGAATTATTATAGTGAAAGCATATCATTTACGTTCGCTTTACAAGGTTTAGACTAAAATGTAACAGACTCTGTGCCATGCACCATCACTCCCCCGGCACCGACTTAAGCAGAATTCAACAATAATATTAGAGTACTTTAAGTATAATACAGTAAGATCACCGATTCCTGTAGCTTGTGTAGTAAATGCATGTTGTTACATACTTATTCAAAATCCATTACAATTAAGAATGAAAATCGACTTTTGTAGATCTTAGTCCTGTTAATTGTAATATAACATGCTACACTAACAAAAAGTTTTTTTTAATTCTTTAAATACATTTATAATTTTATTTAAGAAAAAGAACGATATTAAAAAGGATAAAGAATTACTTGCAACATAGATTAATATTAATGGCAATAGTTATGTTTCTAAACTCAAAGTAAGGTCTCGACAAATGCATGTTTTGTATGTGTGTTTTTTTTTTCGTCTTTTTGTTTTCTTTGTTATTATTTTTTCTGTTTTGCGGACTTTATGGTATTCAAAATTAAATATATTATAAAGAAAAATGATGTACTCATAAAGTACTGAGATTGAGTTATATCGAATAAATGTAAAAAAAAATAATCAAATGCACAACAGACCGAACTGTACATAAAAATTATAATTTCAAAGAATTTGTACGAAAACTGTTATATCGCAATGAAATGCAATTGCTACAATTATTTTTCTGCAATTTCTGAGCTAAAGAAGCTAGTTTTTTCTTCAAACAGTATTTCAAATCCTAGTGCTAACATTTAAATAAAAAATATAAACATTCAGGTTACAAACAAAGACTGATTTAAAACACATTGTTAACACAAAAAATAATACAAAAATATAAAGAAAAAGAAATATGCACAGAACAATGCGCAGTTCTAATACGGATACGTTCTAAATGTTTCGAATTGTCTGATCAATTCGTTTTGATTTATCGTTGATGGTTTATATAGTACTGTATAATAGAAGTACCTTATGTGACTTGATAATTACTTACCTGCATTTTTCATACTTAAAGCAAAAATGGTAACGAGCACATTTTTAACCTTCATCCTTTTTTACATTAAAAACGTTTTCTCTAATAACTTTTTTACAAAGTATATATTTCCAAATATTTAATTATAATAAATTGTATTTTTCTAATCGGTCAAAAATAAACGTTTTTTTTTAAGATTGATTTTTTTTATTTAAAGTGCCTTATACGGTTTCCAAAACAGTTCTGATTGTGATTTGAAACTGACAGCTCAAAACCTTTGATATCCTTATTTACAATTGAACTGACATTATCAAATCAGAGAATGTGAATGTTTTCATTTAAAGTGAAATTGTTGATATACAATGGTGCGACGTTATCATTGTATTCATATTTAAAAGGTTGTTTAAATTTACTTTACTATGACACTTATTGAAAAAAAATAATATCAATAGATATTTCATTCTGAAGATAGTTATACACAAGAAATCAACCATTTAAAACAAGTTAATACATCTGTCAAATTTGTTTCCGCCAATCAAATGCTGCGATACAAATAAATAACTATCAGAAACATCTAACGCTCACTATTATTGGCTGTGCATACCGGTATATTGTCACTGAACTGAACAGAACTGAAAAATGATGCAGAGATTCTTCTAATATATTGAAAGACAAAATAATATAGATAGACAATATAAAGTACATTATAGCATGTTTTCTACGATAAAGAATTAAGTAGAAATATAATAATGTAAACATACACTTTTATCAAGTTATGGACTTAATATTTGTTACTTAAGAAATTTAATCATTATTGAAAGTAAATTTTTGAACCCAATTCATGTTTGAATGTATGGCTATGAAATATGTTTTAATGGGGGAAATGTTGGTTCTGTTCTAATATGCTTTTTATTTGTTTGGTTGGTTTTTTTTTTAAATTGATTTCATCACACTTCAGTGATATCCCGGAGGTTGGTCCAATACATTGGCTGCCCTTGATAACTGACCAGTGTTACGAATTTCTCGACATATGACCGGCTTCTGATCTCGCATGATTTCCATTCAACCAGTGAAAGAAATAGACCATTAGGCTCAATAATCCTGCAAACAATTCATTTCGCCTCGTTCGCCGGGTCAAACCTTTGGTGTATAACACAGTCAAAATTAGACTTGTTTAAATAAAATGCATATAACCATAGTAAACAATATTTATCACGAGAGCACAAAAATCGTAGATGACATGTTTACAGTATTTCGATTTGCCTGTATTGTATTTCCCTTTTAATATATTTTTCAAAATATTGAAAATTGAGCAAACAGTTTTAAATTCATTATATTTCCATAGAATGTGCTAAATAATGTAAACGGACCATTCAAACGGACCTTACATCATATTATAAGTAATTATTTAACTGACTGACTTTTCAATATAAAAAATGAAATCTGACTATTTTTAACTTGTTAAGGCAAATATTAGGTGTTTGTTTTATAATTTCTATTTGCGCTCGAAAATCTCTGAAAGTATGCAAATAAAATAACACCCATGTTATTTTAACCAACTTGATGATGAAACACGCATTTTCGTACATGATTATAAGCAGCAAAAAGAGGGTTGGTCATGAAAATTGAAGTTTTGCAGCGACGTTTCTGAAAACGAAAAGTATGTTTTTTGTTTGTTTGTTGTTGTTTTTAACCTTGTATACGCAGTTGTACAGGTGTCAACTTTATCTGAGATATTCTTTTTCTTCATATTTTTAGCCCATTACTGTATGCGCATTTTGTGAAAAAATACCTGTTTTCATTGAAAACTCTCCCGTTACAAGTTCAAATTGCTATAAAACTATAAAAACTGCTTCAATACTAGTCAAACTTGGCACAAATGTTGACTGGATAATTACCGTTGTAACAACATGCTCAAGCTTAAATTTCCTGTTACCATTGCAACGAGGATACATCTAAAATTGCCAAAAAATCACTATTTTAAGAGAATATTTTTGACAGGCAATTTAAAACTATACAATTTCATTTTTTGTAGCGGAGGGTAGTTTGTTGAACAGGGACACAGCCATTATATGCAAATAATTTTGCACCCCAACCTTTGACTCAAGATTACATCCATTTTCTAATCCACATTGTATTTTTGTATACAGTAACAAACAAAAAGCTTTGAACAGTTTCGAATCATTTTGCCAATGAAAATGCGTAGGCCTATTGCAAACAATATTAATTGTGAAATAACTTCACTTTAAAGAATCTTACAGCCGCTGAAATTATTTTTAACAATAAACTGCAGAAAACATTTCATTTAGCATATCATGTTTGAAATTCAAAAATGTGCAAAAAGCCTGTTTGAAACTTTTTGCAGAACCCTAAAAAAGATGGATATTTAAATTGTTGAAAACGATTGACGTCAGAGTGACGTACGCATGACGTTGTTAACCTATTTAAATTTGGAAATAATACCAAACATTCTTTAAATTTTTGATTGATATTTCTTTGACTTTAAATTACATACAACTTTTGAATATTATTTTTTGAAAAGCGGTGAACGATTGTTTAAGTATTTATTGAAAATTTTACAGCCTTGGCCTTTATATTTTCATGAAGAATGGTGAGTGTAAGGCATCAATAGATAGAAACCCGATATAAGGTGTAATCATCTTCAGGTCGGCTGTACTTTATGCAAACCATTCAGTACATTTCCCATATTTTGGTTTTTTTTATTTTAAAATAGCCGAATTAAATGCTAGTTCAGGAAAGGCGAACTGTATTTTTTGACTACGTGCATGCATGTGTTCAGATCAGAATTAATTTGATATCTTTTATAGAGGTCTAGTACTGATCATTCTTAAAAAAACACACACACATACATTAAAAAAGCAGTTTTTATTGGCTGATACCTATTCTTTATGGAGTTTCTCTTACTTTTTACAATATTTCCTAACTGATTCAACTAAAGATTTGCACTGGTTAATCAAGTGAGTTAGTTTAGTTAGTATAGAAATTTGTGGAGAATTAGAGGACTTCATTTCAATCTTATTTATTTCTGTTTTACTGTTTTAATTATTGTTGTCATATAACACACATAATAACTAAACCGTCTTCAAGGTTATGATTTGTTTGATGCAACAAAAATATACACGTGTTTAGTTGGCACGCATCATTTTCAGACCTACAATAAACAAGGTCATGTTTGTCCAGCAGTTAGCACAGAGAGTTTGACAATATACCAGTACCTTTTGAATAACAAAAGACTGGTCAAGGACTTTGAGACTACGATCATATCTATAATTGGACTGTTGATATAGAATATTTAAACTGTACATAACTTTATTTGGTTTTCAATATTTAATGCAAAGTTGTATGTAACGTACTAAAAGTAACTATTATCTACTTAACAATGAGGATATGTTTTCTGATTTTTCAATTAGTTCACAATATCGATTTAGGCGGTGCTTGGGTAGCGAGAGATTTTGCGATTTACATGTTTTTATAAACATATCTAATAAAAATTAGTTTGTACTTTTAAACTACTTGTGTTTTGTTGTCATTAATCATCTCCAGTTGTCGACAGTTGTCGATCCATTAATTTGTATTCAGGTCTATCACCGTGACACATTTATATTACAAGGCCTGTTTTGTATGGTAGTAAGAATAGACGATTATTGAAGCATTGTCATCAATAAACATTTAAAATTAAACATTTAATCGGACATTTCAACCATTGCCGTGACGTGTTTTGTAAAAGAAAATAATCATTGCCGTTTTTGTAAAATATATAATAACCATTGCCGTGTTTGGCAAAACCTTAATTGAAATTCTAAATTTAAAATTGTTTGGTTTGCTTCTGATATTTTCCCAACAATTTTGTAAGCCTTTTGGACTAGGGTCCAGACATTCGTTTAAGAACTGAGACGCCAGGGATTAAAAATCCTGAAAAATGATAAGTGTCTTTTTTCAGTGATCTGAAATTTGCTTTCCATGAAAATAGCGAAAATAGCCATACATGCAAAACATTTTAGATGATAATATAAATTGTGCTTGATTGCAAGTTAGAAATTTTCGCAAAGCGAAATTCCATACGTATTAAATTCAAACTCTTTGAGTAAAATCGAGATGCTAAAAGTATCATATATTTTAACCACTTTTTATATATCTTTGAATATTTTCTATATATTAGATGCTCATGCGCACCGGTTTTGATTGTAGGAGCATATGTGTCATTCTTGATTCTGTGAAAAAGACTCTTTTTACGCGCATGCATTTTCAAAAAAATGTGAATAATTTCTACAAAAAAACTTCTTGAATAATTATGCAAATGAAATTCCCGAAAATAGACCATGGTTATTTAAATTTGGACACAAAACAAGAAGTGGGAGAGGAATTTAGTGTGTGCGGGTTTTTTTTTTTAATTAGATTGTAAAAGTTTAAAATTATTGAACAATAATCTGGAAAAGTAAAAAGTAATAAAACGCCGATTCCTATTGGTTATTCTTAACATACAAGTTGGTTGTTCTTAAAAAACATCCCAGCAGTGTGCAATATAATGTGTCAATAGAGTTGCAAATAAAATGCATAGCAAAATACTTGTCTGTCCTAAATTTTGGTCTTTTAAGAAATCTTATTATAACCACCTAATGTTTTATAAAAGTAATTTGGTAATAAGTATATATATTTATGAATATTATAATTGTCCTCATACAAAAAAGATTTATGAATTGAACAATACAATTATTATTGTTTAATTAAGCAATTCTATTCACCTAGTTCTATTTCACAGACATGTTGTAAAAAGGTCCTCAAAAAATTGTTTATTAAACAGTTACTGTAAAAATGTTCCTACACGATGTATTGTCAAAATTTCAATGTTACATTCTGTGTATACAGCTATTATATTATTCTTTTTATTTGTAAGGTTTATATACGAACATTACTGTTACAATATTGAAAAGACAATATTATCATTTAGAAATCAACATGTACTTGTTTTTATGATAATGTCATTTAAATGTGATTTACTGGATAGACACTTTATTATATTTTTGTTGCATTTATTATTGAATTATTTATTGCGTTCATCACTTTACTCGTATAATAAAAAAGGTTAATTCTAAATTGTAAAAGGTAAAATTGAACATTTATCGGTAGGTATTACTTATTTTAGGTTGTCAAGT